GGGGAGTCCTACTCCTACTAGGAGGAGGACTCCTCCTCCTTGGCGCGCCCACAAGGGCCGGCCGGCCTCCCCCCTTGCTCCTTTATATACAGGGGCAGGGGGGCACCCTAGAGGACACAAGTTGATCTTCGTGATCGTTCCTTAGCCATGTGCGGTGCCCCCCTCCACCATATTCCACCTCGGTCATATCGTTGCGGTGCTTAGGCGAAGCCCTGCGTCGGTAGAACGTCATCATCGTCACCACGCCGTCGTGCTGACGGAACTCATCCCCGACACCCTGCTGGATCGGAGTCCGGGGATCGTCATCGAGCTGAACGTGTGCTGAACTCGGAGGTGCCGTACGTTCGGTACTTGGATCGGTCGGATCGTGAAGACGTACGACTACATCAACCGCGTTGTCATAACGCTTCCGCTTTCGGTCTACGAGGGTACGTGGACACACTCTCCCCTCTCGTTGCTATGCATCACCATGATCTTGCATGTGCGTAGGAAATTTTTTGAAATTACTACGTTCCCCAACAATTACATGAATACTTTGCAGTCAATCTCGTTGTCGGTTCAAGAGCTCATTGGCTGTGACACGGAGAATGATGGGTGTGAGGGGGTGAGAAAAAAAAGGCCTTCGGGTATATACAAACAAATGGGCTCTCAAGCGAAACTGACTACCCATACATCGATGAGAGGAGTAAATCAGGTTTCAAGCGGAACAAAACATTAGCATCAAGGATAGCAGGCTTTCGATTTGTCAACCCGACCAAGGATGCTCTAGCTAGAGAAAGCGGTAGCAAAACAACCCGTGGTCGTCAGTTTGCAGAGTCCCGATGATCTGCAAAAATACAAAGGAGGCACCCTGGATTATAAACCTATTGGAGACTACACCAGCAGCAGTCATGTTGTCCTGATTGTCGGTTATGTCATAGATTCAGACAGTGTCAAGTACTGGCGCTTCAAGAACTCGTGGGGGAGAAGACTGGCGTGAGGGTGGGTTTGAGAGGATCCGCAAGCACATTGCCGACAAGCGAGCTGTGTTGGGTATTTTCATGCACCAAGGAGTATATCCAGTGCTTAAGGACTGATCAATCTATATGGTAGCATCTTTTGTTTGTAAAAAATTATCCCCTTGCTAGTTCCATATCTTACCATTGTTGCACCTTTGCTCGTGTAGTTGCATGCATATTTTTGTCTATGTTGTGATGATGTTTTTATATGTGTAGTCATTGTTGGACTTCTTCCTAGTGAAATTTTATCAGTTCTTGATATCTAATCATTGTTGCTATTAAGTTTTTTTTTCTCGAGCAACCGGCAGGAGCTCTTTTATTCTATATACTAGAATTTACTATGCTTCGAGCTTATTGTGAGAGGTGTAAATCGGGTCGCAAGAGGAACACAATGATGAAAGGACATCATGCATTGTCTATAACCACATATACCATGAGTATCTTCAAGCTTCTGCTTGGATTGTGTAACTACCTAAATCAGACGACTAAAAATGTGTGGTTACTTTTAGGAGTGCTTTTTAAAAGACGGAGAATCAAGATAAGGCTTTGTTTGGATGTAGACATTGGAGGGCTTGGCATTGAATTGGCTCGAATGCCAAATATTCAAGACATTGATATTGAGCTTCAATGCCAATTTCGGTGTTTGGATGCCCATGTATTTGGCTTGTGGAATCCAAGAGAAAAAACAATTCCAATTCTTGTTTGGATGGCCAAGTGCTGAATTGCACATGTAAAAGACGAAGAATCAAGATAAAGGTGTTGAATTTCACTGTAGGTCCCTGCTCGATGTGAAGTTGAACTTTGTCTTGCACTCTGGCTTCACGAGTTCGACCATTACACTAACGTAGGGTGTTGAGGTGCATGATGGTAGCTTTCACAGAGAGTGGAAACAGAGTCAAATTCAAAAGTTTAACACCAATTCTTTATATGGCAAGAAACATGGTCAAATTCAACGAAAAGTACACGAGCTTCTTTCATCCCAAGAACGGGACAAATGAGAGGTTCAACTTATATATATCCATGCCACAGGAGAATTGGTGGGCTGAGGAGAAATTAAGTACTCCTACACAGTTCATGCATCTCCTCCAAGTAGTTTATTGCGTTCTTCTGAAGAACTGTTATTGTTTTTATGCCAACCATCCCACTATGATTTTCAGTTTACTATTAAAAAAACTGGTGCTTTACTCTTTTTCATTTCAACAGTCATCCACGCAGGTAGACTCAAAGAGCTAAAAGTGCACTCGATATTGGTCCGGTACCATACCACCCAAATGTAAAAAAAGCACAGGAAATGGGGTGCTAGCATGCTGCTAGGGCAAAACTGTTGTGCTCAGCACTCAGCAGCCAAGCTTCAGTGCTGCAACACTTCAGTTGAGATTCAGCCGTTTGCTACTCTCGGCGTGTCGAACTTATCTGAATTTCGTGCCGCGAGTCGCTTTTAGTTGAGCTTCATCGCTTTTACTACCCATACTACTCCCTCTATCCCAAAATATAAGAACGTTTTTAACACTACACTAGTGTCAAAAACATTCTTATATTATGAGACGGAGGGAGTACTTGTTATGCAAGAGTGATTTTTTTTTACTCCTACTACTTGTTATACAACTGAATTTTCTAAATTGCTTGGATACAATTTCAGCGATGACTATACACGGGTCCTGGCTCAGTTGGTACCGGTGAGAGGAATGAAACGTAGACCACACAATAAGAAACACATAGAAGAATATGCTATACACGCATGCTGATATCCACTGGCTCAGAAATGGAATAGTCTAACCTGAAAGATTCTGGAAGGCAATATTCAAGAAAAAGACACACAGCACGCACAAATTCTGGAAGCCCTACTTGAAACAAGAGCATGTGGTCAGATCCAAAGGTGCAAAGCGCATGCTGAGATCAATCAAGGAGAGATGCCACTTCTTTATTTGGTAGTACAAATCCTTAGAGAAATGAAACCTGCTACAGACAGATCTGCTTTGATCCATCATGGCTGAATTAAAGTACTAGTAGTAGTTCTTTCTTAAAACAAGCTGTTCCACAACTGCCCAATTATGCAAACCTAACAACCAATCATACGACGACAATCGACGACGACGATGATCGAATGATCAGCGCGACATAATCCAGTACTGATCCTCTCAGCTAGCATGCAGATCCCTTGGTCAATAGATTATTCCCCGATGAACCTGAAGAATGAGCCCAAGTCTTCAAGCACTCATTCCAAAGGTTCATCTAGCTTAGCCATATAATTAATAAGCCTCCTTCCTTGGTGATGCTACTACCTCTTACAAATTATGATCATAGGCTGTTACTACTAGATATGTCGTCAGGATCGATCCGTGCATGGTAGCTTCTGATCGATCGGAGCCGTACGTTCATCAAGCCTTCTGCTTCTTCTTCTTCCTCTACCTAAATTGGGGTCCAAAGGGGTTCCAGAAGTCGACGGGCACGTCGCTGGCCACGGCGAAGGTGCTCGATATCGGCACCAGGCACAGCCCCCGGCCCTTGAGCGACACCTCGCCGCCGTCCTTGCACGACTTGTCGGGGCTACCATTGCTCGAGCTCTGCGACCAGACACGCGCAGACACATGTAAAAAGCCACCATCAGACATGCAAGCACTTTGAGACTTGAAATGGCAGCATCCATGGTGCAATGGAAAGTGAGAGAGAGCAAAGCATGCAGACTGACAAGCACGCCATGGATGTACATGGACATACCTTGAGGTACTGTGGCACTTGATGCTGATGATGGCCGCTCTTGAGGTATGGGGCGCTGAGCACCTGCATGCAAGGTTGCAGAGACAAATGTTGAGCTCGGTCTCCAATGGAGTCTCCTGGAGGATGATTCGTGGGAGGAAACCGATAGAGCTCGTGCGTGCGTGCGTGCTCGGGGCGCCATGATTAAAGCGTGCGTGCATGGGGGCATGGAATCATATGTAGGGATTTGGAACGTGCACTTACACCAACTTGGTCGTGGAGGAACTTGATGTACTCGATGGTCTCGTGCAGCACCGACGCCGTATCCGTCTGCAGCACGCACAACGAGATTGTGTGTTAGATACTCCTCCACATGTGTGTTTAGACGATAGTAGATCTCGAAAGGCGCGGAGGAAAGGATGAACGCTTTTGCAGAGAAGAGATGCACATTGGATGATACTCAAGGTCATGTGTAATATATCTAGCATTTGTTTATGTGATGCACATTGGGCATCCATCCATGCATGCATGCATGCATGAAAAGCCTAGGTAGCTAAGCGAAGCTAGCAAGCAAGCTTATACCTTTCCGAAAGGAGAGACGAGCTGTTGGAGCGCTGTGATCCTGTCCCCTAGCTTCTCCTTCCTAACCTGAAATGTGTTGCATGCACAACTTTAATCAATCGGTAAAGATGCATCATGCATCGATATGGATGGGTTTGCGTCTATGTATTATACTATGTAAGATCAAATAATGTCCATGGTGTTTAAGAGATCCAAGTGGCATGATTTATAACCTAACCTAACCATCCATGATTTAAAAGTAAGGTATGAGTATGACTATGAGTCTATGAGCAGACTATGAGCATGCATGCATGCATGTTTACCTTGAAGGTCGGCAATGGCGACGGCGTCTCCATTCTCGGTTTCTTGAACGCCGGCTCGCCGCTCGCCTTCTTGGCCACGATCGAGCTAGAGTCTCCCACGCCTTCTAACACAGTCTACAGACAACCAAGGTAAATTACAATCAGCCACCTACTACATCTGTACGTGCTCGCATGAAATATTTGCAACTACTAGTAGAGTATCGTAGTAGTAAATACTTAATCATTAGCACAAGCTTACGTACCTTAAGTGCAAGGTTTGCCCCACGCGGCGCCGGCGACGGTTGTTTCGCCGCACGCACGCTGGTGTTGTCAGTCGCCGGCGGGGCTGCCATGCCCATGCCGAACCCGGCAGACTGGTTCCAGAAGGCCGCGTCGTTGGTGAACTGGAGCGGCTCCCTGGCCCCTGTCTGGCCGCCCATCTGCTGGTACTGATACTGCTGCAGGAGCCCCGCCGCTGGTGCCGGCTTACCCGTCGGCTCGATGAGGCTCCTCAGCAGCGACGACTGAAACCCGTACGGCGAGTTCGGCGACAGGAGCAGCTCCGGCGCCCCCAGGCTGGACAGCAGCTGCTGCTGGCGGTGGTGATCGTCCTGCTGCTGCTGGTGGTGGTGGCCTTGTAGAGCTAGGTCTAGGTTGTTCGGCGCGGCGACGGCGTTCATCATGCTCTGCTGGTCCGTTCTCGAGCTCATGTCATGGTGGCCAACCTGGAGAAACCCGTGCATATTACCAGCACCGTTGCTCCTGTTGGAAGTTAAAACACACACAGACACACATGTAGATTTCGTTAATTAATTTCAGTGCATGTCACGGGAGTATGTACGTATGTGTATCGATTATCATCATATGATATATGATAGTAAGGGATCACGGACGAACGGCGAATCAATCGAGCAAATTAAGGGCAGGTGTGGAACTAAGTGGCAACAACAACTCACATGTAAGGGTTATTCCAATCCGTGAAGCCGGCGACTGCCGGGTCGTTGATGCTGGCCGTTTCTTGGAAGGTTAGGGAGCTGTTGTTCCCGGGCGACTCGGAGGAGGCCGTGGTGGTGCAGCTCTTGGCCTGCTTCCCGCCGTCCGCCGCCACGTCGTAGCCACCAGCAGCCAGACCGGCCGGCCAGTTGTTGAACCCGGCGAGCTCCGTCGAGCACGCCACGGCAGGCACCGCCGCCGTCGCGTTGCTGTTCCACCACATGCCGTGCGAGACGGCTCCGGCACCGCCGCCGTTGTACATGGCCGGAGCAGCATGCATCAGCTGATGATCTCCCATATCAATCGATCTACCGATCACCGCTCCGTTTCCTTGTCGACCGATCGATCCCGGCGCGCGACGGAGAGAGAGGAGCCAGATGCAAGGGAGTGGTGAGTGCTTGTTGGGTGGGCAAGGAGAGGAGGGAGGGGAAAGGGGTGAAGCTAAGCTCAGTGGAAAAGATGGGGTTGTGTCGTCTGGGTATATATAAACCGTTTGGAAATGAAACGGAGAGGAATTTCGCCTGCCTGACCGTGGCTTGGGTCGTTGGCGGTCTTCCCGCATTGCGTCAGCTGGTAAATTTCAAATCGATCTGGTGCAACAGATCATGATCAAGCGGTCGTTGAACGACCCACATCACTAGAGTAGAGTGCTACTACTACAGAACACTCTCGTGCACACCGGTAGCAGTCTCTTTTAACTCTCGATCTTGTCTTGTAGTAGTTGTAACAGTAACCTCTTATTGTCTTAGGGTTTTGACGTATGCGCGTAATGCCAGATGACTACCAACAACGAAAAAGACTTATCATAGTGTTGTTAAGGTTCATCACACTAGGTGCAATCTTAAAGACTAATCAATACTTCCTCCATATGGAATTAGTTGACGCTCAAGCGGATGAGCGTCATCTAATTTCGGATGGAGTGAGTATTTCTTTTTTTCGAAAACCTTGAATGGAGAAAAGAGCAAGAGACTCTGCTTATAAGGAAAAGTGGGCCGAAAACCTCATGCTGACTACTCCCTCAGATCCAAAATAAGTATCGTGATTTTAATTAGGTCAAAATTGAACTAAAATCATGACACTTACTTTGGATCAAAGGAATTAGTTAATAAATAAACCAACACAATAAGCTCAAACCTGCTAGCTATACTAGATCTGCCGTGAGAAATCATTTTTCTGGGCTGCTCCTCTCACTTCCAAATACAGCACTTGCTCACACACCAACATCTACGCATGACTAGCTACATGCCCAGCCAACACACCAACATTCGGGCGTGTCGTTCCAAAGTACTTGCTCTGTAAACTAATATAAAAGCGTTTACTAATCATTAAACTAATATAAGATCATTTAGTGATCGTCTAAACAATCTTATATTAGTTTATAGAGGGAGTACCAACCAAACAACCCCGTTTGATTGCGTACCTTGGACCAGAAAAATTGTCCAACCTTCTAGCACAACATCATCACTCTCTGCCATGCCGAACCACATTCCCACCCAATTGGTTCATCGCTGCCACACTGCCTTTGGGGTCGCTCCCTCGACTCTCAATAATCCCTTGGCAACCCTAGCACCAATAGGAACAACTCAGTTCAAGCTAGCAACAACTAACAATTTCTACCTACCAATGCTGCCAACCAAGAGTCCATTGACCCTGCTAGACAACATGTTGTGTGACTTAGTCCTAGGTTAAAGCCTTCCGGCAAAACTTGAGGACCCAAAACCCAAGCCACGGGAGACAAACCTAAGTATCTGTGACGACGCCTCTAAGGAGGGGAACAATTATGTGTTAAAGGTTGATATTGTCTCAGTACATGCGTGTTATAGTATTTCAATACTACATACAAATCTTGGCAAATAACTGGAAGTCACACAAAAAAAATCACGATGTCTTTGTTCCAGACAAGTCACATCTAGCTATACCCTCAAGAAATTCTGATCCTTCAATCTCCCCTTTTATGATTCTTCAGTTGGAGGCTCGGATCACTAGCTAGTAACTAGACATATAATAGTTAGGATTTAGGGATATTGAGATTACAAAGCAGGGATCCAATAATTGGCATATGCCGGGCGCCATGCATGCATGTTTCACACATTAGAATCAGGATAAATATGTCGAATCGGTATAAAATATGTTATCTGTTACTTGCAAATAAAACAAATGAGTGAGACTAGGGTATAAATTCGAATGGATCAATCAAAGGCATTGACCTCCGAAAGGAGGTCTGGCTGATGATAGCAACACAGTGAAATGAATTACATCATCCAGAATCATCCAGAAGGAATGTTTGATGAAATTGCCTAACTGCTATAAAGGGGTAATGAACTCTAGTAGTAGAACTGTTGGACCTAATCTTTTGTACCAAGAAGTCACGTCTGTGTGCGCTATAGTCGGCTAGAATTAATCTAATCTATCCTGGCTAGTAGCGAATTACTTTCAACGTGGTGATAATTGCAAATCCTCTGACCATCAGCCTTTATTTTATTTTATTGTTAAGCATTCCGACCACTAGAAGATAAAATTCAAGCGTCGCAGTCCGATGCAAATTACATGCATACCCTGTCCCTGACCCTACAAATCGTAGTTCATATATATGTGTAGCATGCGGAACATATCCAGTGATAGTAACGTTGTAGCTCTCGCTAGCATTATGCATTTTAAATGCTAGCTAAATTTTACTATATCATTACAGTGGAAAAAATGGTCGCTGGATGCTGGATGCATGCATGTACCCTTGGTTTTTGCTGTAAGAATTTTTCATGCATGCATGCGTGCTTGCCTGCCGGTGATGAAATTGTTTTCGGTTAAATGAATCAACCATGCATGCATGCATGTTTTTCGATGAATCTGAAATTTATTCAGATACCAAAACGTCAGTTTCGTTGGGAATGGGTGACGTGATGGAAGAACGCCCCCATATCGCACGCGTTAGGCACCCCATGTTTGTCCTGGATCGTTATGATTCCCTCAGTCCCGTTCCTTTTTGGATTTTTGCTCCACGTAGTTATATTCCCTTCCCAGTTCAGATTAGCCAAGTCTCAGTTTTTTTAACAAAATCAGGCTAGCCAAACTCATATTATTCCCTTTATTATACTTTTCTTCTCCTTGCAGGTTGTTTAACGGAGTGTGTAATTAGTGAGGTTGCTAGCTAGCTACTCGTAGCTCGTAGTGGCACAGTACGATTCGACCGATCGAAATGCATAGCTATATATAGACATGCCAACCATATATAGTCAAGACAATTTCTCCTGCTAGCTAGTTACTGGCGTGCTAGACATGCATAGAGACTGGATACAGCAAATTATACAAGTGGTTAATCAAGGTACGTACGTCCTAATTACGCTTTTAGTGGACTTCAAAGTACGGCAGCCTGGGTGCATATAGACGTAAAAATAAAATATGTACACCTGCGTACTAGTACTACTTGCAGCAGTGGACTAGAGGAACGTTCTTTCGGCGTACGCAGCAGAATTTGGTCTAGACTAGAAGACGGTGGCCGGCCTAAACCTATAGCCCTAGAGCTATTAGCTACACTGAAGCACCAGGTTGGCGCGGCGACGACGTCGTTGACGTCAGGCTGACGGCCGTCGATCGTTGTAGCTACGGCGAACTCTATGGCGGGAGAAAGAGAAGGGAGGCGTCAAAAGCGCGGGGCCGGGGGGTGGCACGCGTGCCCGGAAAAAGCCAGCCGCCCACTCACCCCATCCACACACACACACACACACACACATCTATACTCAGCCTGAGCCAAGCCACACGCAGGAGCAGCAGCAATACAGCGTGCATGCAGTGCACTCCGCCCGCAAGCCAGCGCCACCACTCCAGTAGTCGGAGGCCGAGTCAAAAGGCCGGACAGGGACAGCGTCCGACCGGCCGGAGCAGCGTTCGTCGATCGATCCATCGCCTCGTCGCGACAAGGATCCGTCCGCTCCGCCCGGCCGGTGTCCCCATCGATGACCCCCCACGTCGCTAGCTGCCACGTATCCACCAGCGACAAACCTTTGACCATCCGATCCGATCGGGAGATCATCATTCCGGGGTTCGGTAGAGGAGAAGAGGGTCAACTTTCTTTTCATTTCATTTCCTTCGCTGGACGCTGGACAGGCAGGAGTGTAGCAGTTCCACAGATGAATGGATTAATAGTACCACAAGCTAGGCGAGAAATCATTGGGGTTGGGAGGTCAACTTGTTGTTCATTCCATTCCCTGGCTAGCGTGCTAGCCAGACAGTGCAGCAGTTGCAGAGAAAAACTGATGGTAATAGAGTACTATTATATGTTCACAAAGGCAGACACTCGAATCTGTGATGAGCTAGCTAGCCTCGGTGTTTCTTCACCCAACAACTCGCAGAAAATAACACAAAGGATCGCGCGATCATGCATGACCTTTTGCCGTCCGTTGTGTTTTCGTTTAGGGATTGGTGGCTCGATGGCACGAGATAGAGTGGAAGATTATAGCCAACTAATTTAGCTAGATCGCGTCAGTTAGTCGCGTGCAATCAACCTCCTCCAGCGATCGGATCGACAGAGCACGTACATACCAAAGAGTTTCACTTGGCCATAACTTGTGGCTACCTAGGAGAGATAGGAACCATAATAATTTTAGAGCTCTTTTACGGTACCGGGTAATGAATACGGGCCCTCCATTCTGGAAGATCCAACGGCCCAAAGAGATATATACTATTGGAATTGGTTTAGCAGTATAAAGACTGCACTGCTCGATCAACGTAAGCGGTATATGTGATTTGAGGGCAACTCGGGAAGATTTTTAAGTTTCAGCTCGTCAGATTGAGGCGCCCCACGCATTCTCCCTCGGCGAGCCGATCTCTCGTCCCTTCCTCGGCCAGCCTGTGCTCGTGGATCAGGCGCTCGGCGGCATGGCGCAGGTCTCGGCAGTCGGCACCCGACGTCTCGTGCCTACACCGGATGTGAGGGCAGAATGGCGCAGCTTCTCTTATTCGGCAGGCCGGATGTGAGGTACCCTCATCCCACAGGTGACAGGCGCTGACGGATAATTTAGTGTTCACCTTTGTAGAGAGTTGGGTCCAATGCAAATTCAGGTTTTAAGCTGCACTACTTGGTTCAGGCTGTTGGCAATTTCAGTGATGGGTTTGTTATTTCCTAGCAGCGGCAGCTAGCCCCTTGGAAGAAAGTTTTTGTCATCACTCAGTTTCTACGATGCAGCCAAATATGGATAACTGAACTTCTAATCCGTAACAAGGCGGCGGACGTTCGAGGCCTGTTGGAAGGTTACGGATTTGTGAGGCTACAAGAGGAGCATGCAGACAGCTAGATATGGATGGAGTGAACTAGCACGGCGGTGGTGAGGGGGAGTTAGATGGCCGGGGCGTGCAATATGGGAGACGGCGCATCTGGATTGAGTCGGCGGCGTTTTCTCTCGACAGTCGATAGCCATGACAGATTCCAGATACAAACTAATAAGAGTTTGGTTTTCTTTTAATGTGAAAAATTAGAGGTCTAAAATACCCTCAAGAATTGAACGGTGAGATTAGGTATATACTGCTCCCTTTTCCGTGGCAGTATAGGGTACCATAAAAAAGCTCTAA